AGTCATGTCCCATAGACAATACACGCAAAATGTGAAAAATTGACATGCCTCCTTTAATCGCAAAAATACAACATGATACTTTTGTCAAAAATAAAAATTGTGAATACTACATTTGTAGAAAATTGTCTCAGCTAGAACATATCAAAATTAAAAAGAAAATTGATTCATATTTACAGAGATACAATCAATTTTCCAAAAATATGCTGACGTCATAATATGCAAATTAAAATTTTGAGTTTGGAGGCCATTATGATGACGTCATGAGTTAATTGAGGATAAAATGAGACATGAAATCATATCTCCGACTCATAAGCTATCTTAATATGAAAAAATATTAGGAGTTTCTATCTATTCTAAAGAGTTACAATGAATTTTATATAGGCATGTTTTTGCCCATGTATTGTGGATAAAGATAACGCAAATCCGCGCGTGCTGTCAACTTTGACGGACGCTCATTACGTTAATAATAGGTGAACAAATTATCAAAATGCTTGGAAAAATGTACCAAATATGATGACAGAAAAAAATCGGCGATTCTATGTTGCAAAATGCCAGTACGCGCGAAAACGCGCGCGCATGCTCGTGCGCGTAATTTTTTTTTTTAAATGCTCCATATGGCCTGAAACGTATGCAAAAAAAATTTGGGATGATTTAGAGCATTTTAATTTTTTGCGCGCGCGTAAACGCGCGGACGAGCGCGCACGCGCGCATTTACGAACGTTTATTGACCTAAAATTGATCGGACGGATATTGATCTTAATCATGATAAATATGAATCAAAAATTACTATCCGTTATGAAGATATGATCATTAGTTGATTTTTACAAAATGGCGCCTGGATGACGTCACGATGACTTTGAGTCTTTGAAAAGTCACGCAGTTCTAAGTTAGACTAAGATCTATCATCATTGAAAGATTTATAACAATGGCTTTATTCAGTCTTGAGATATCCTGCGAACAAATTCGAGGAAGAATAATAATAATAAATAATAAATAACAATCTTGACGAAATCAATAGGTGATACGTAGACTTCGTTACGTATCACCTAAAAAAAAGAAAATCTTGACGAAATCAAAAGGTGATACGTTGACTTCGTTACGTATCACCTAATGATTCCTTCAAAATTTGCAATTTCAACTTTCGATCGAAAATTTTAACATGATCCCAACATCTGATTAAAAAACAAAGTACACCGTTTTGATAGCCCATGGTCTCAGCTATAACATACCCCAATTTGGGAGAAAACAGAGCACACATAAGATAGATAGTGCTCATAGATGAATGCCATGTAGATTCATGATGTGAACGAAATTCACCTTCCATAGACATAACACGCAAATGACGAAAATTCTGACATGTGGCCTTTAATTGAATTTTGTACTATGATGACCTCATTAAAATGAAACTTAGTGAAGGTGATCTTGTAGAGAATTGCCTTATCTACAACATATCGACATTTCAAAGAGAATCGATGAATATTGAGAGAAATACACTACATTTTTCATAAATACCATGACGTCATAATATGCAATTTTGTATTTTTGACTTCCAAGGCCATTATGATGACGTTAAGATGTACTTAATGGCCAAATGAGATATGAAATCCTACCTCCGACTCATACTCTATCTAAATATGAAAAAAAAATTGGCAATCCCTATTCATCCCAATGGACTTTTCATAGGCATGTTTTTGCCCATATATGCAATGTATTACAAAAATCGCGCGTACGGACGGTTATCTTGAACGGACGCTCATTCCGTTTTTAATAGTGATAAAGAGCTTAACATGGTATCAAATTTTCCGGAAAAATATGAGGAATATTCGGTCAAAAGCTTTTGCGGAGAAATTATTTTTCGTTCGGCCGTGACGAACGAAAACGTGCAAAAATGCGTGTTTTGCGTGATTTTTTATGAAATGCTTATAATGGCCTGAAACGTATGCAAAAAAAATTTAAGACGATTTTGAGCAATTTAAAATTTTACGCGCGCGTTGACGCGCGCGCCTACGCGTACGCGCATTTTTGCGCGCATTTATTGACCTCATATTGATCCGACGGATATTGATCTTAATCTTGATAAATATGAATGTAAAATTACTTTCCGTTATGAAGATATGATCATAAGTTGATTTTTACAAAATGGCGCCTGGATGACGTCACGATGACTTTGAGTCTTTGAAAAGTCACGCAGTTCTAAGTTAGACTAAGATCTATCATCAGTGAAAGATTCATAACAATGGCTTTATTGAGTCTTGAGATATCCTGCGAACAAATTCGAGGAAGAATAATAATAAAATAAAAAAAGAAAATCTTGACGAAATCAAAAGGTGATACGTTGACTTCGTTACGTATCACCTAATGATTCCTTCAAAATTTGCAATTTCAACTTTCGATCGAAAATTTTAACATGATCCCAACATCTGATTAAAAAACAAAGTACAACGAAATAAGAACAATTATTGAACATGATAAACCTGATGTTTTTTGTATTACGGAGACTCATTTATGTCTTTACTGAAAGAAGATCGATCACACAATTCCTTATCGCAAAATGTGTGTCAATTGGGAGGCGTTTCATCTTTGCGATGATTTCTTTGTCAAAGCTGGACAAATTGTTGACATACACCTCGTAGAGCGAGTTCCCCCCCGCTCTAATGGAAACCACACCTCTCAGGAATTCTCTTCCTTTTCCTCCTCCCTGGCCCTGCGTTGCTGTCTGCCGCTCCTCAAACCTATCGACTAGGAACATGTAGACGGTTTTGTTTGCCATGTTGATCTATCGAGAAAAAGAACAAAGATATAATTGTGACGATATAAATACAGAAAAATAAATTTAACCGCAATAAAAGGTCAGGATTACTGTACAAGATTTACATATAAGTATGCGATGGCTATAAGAACATGTGGAACAACTGATTGAAATCAAGTGGAGTTTGCATTTATATCTCAAATATTTACGCCATATAATTTGTTATGGTAGTCAATTCATGTTTCTTAAATATTTTATTTATTTGGGTATTTGTATGTAATTGTAACATGTTTATTTAACCGAGACACAGAAAGCTAACCAAAAACAATCCCTAAACATGCTGCATCCAATCAATGTCAATTGCTCTCCTAAACTAAAGTAACTTAGGAAAAAATGACAAGCTTACCTGAAGGATGATGGAACAGAAGTGATTTAATCTCCCAATTTATTACATTCGCCCAAGTACAAATCAGGTACATAACAAAATAAACCAATCAGAAGAGAGTCATGTGAGAAGATAAACCAATCAGGAGAAAATCATGTGAGAAGAGAAACTAATGAGGTGAGCAAACTACATGTACATGTAGATAGTTAAATTTCGCCCTCACATTCCAACCCGTACTATTTATTAAGTTTTTATTTTCTATGCATGGCTTGCCTTGTCATGCCCTAGCAACAGGCACTTTCTCTTCTCTCATTGGGTCTCTTCGTTTCTCATCTTTGAACAGTTCAAAGGTGAGAAGCGAAAAGAACCAATGAAAGAAGAGAAAGTGCCTGTTGATAGGGCATGACAAGGAGAGTTGTGCATAGAGAATAAGAACTTAATGTTATTTGTTTGCGGTACGATTGTATAGCTGGCAAATGTAGTTTGTATCGTTAATGAATGCATGTACCGTTGCCCCCGATGGAATGTAATTTACATAGGCAGCTCGTACAGGTGTGCCACGGAGACCAGGGCGTTGCATCAGTGTGTAATTGAATCATTCTAGTTTGAACTTTTAACGAGACAACTGTTATTTACAATGAAAGTGCATTGTGTTATGTTATGTTACGACCTCTGGCCAATAGTTGTTGTCAGACTATCCCACAATAATGGAAGTGTATTATTGTGTTATTTGTTTGTGTTGGGAGTCAAGAGGGATGGCAGACACAATAATATGTGAAGTTATAGGACAGACTAAATAGAACAGGTTGGAATGTGAGGGCGGAAAAAAAGGTGTGGCAGTCGTGTAACTGAAAAAATTCTTCTGTAAGAAGGTGATTGAAAAGGGACTCAAACAACGTACAATGGCAATCATGTAGAAGACTTACGAATGCATTCCGCACACTACACATTTGCAATAACTCATAGCCTGCCATGAGGCTGCATGCACGCTACCTATTGAGTGCCATGTGCGTGCAATGCAGCATTCGTAATGGCAGTTATTGTTCATGCTCATTAGGCTGTGCTGTGTGTTTTGCACTCGCCATTCATAGAACCATCGCGTTAATCAGATTATCTCCAAAACAACCTGGCACAATGGGGATTAGCCCTGTGGCACGATAAGAGTTAAAGTTGCATAATTTGCCTAAAATATATAATGTACCAAAAGAACTACTTTTTATGGAGGAAGAACACCACAGCACTCCACCTCGTGCTAGTCAAGCATAGCATACCCAAGATTCCCACCTGCTGCTGGGCAAATTCCAGCATGATTTTTGATATGTTTTAGCTATATACCAGTACATGTGAGACTATTCTCTACATGGAATTTGGAATTGGACATTTATTTTTCATATTAACAATGGCATCATGGCCCGTTTTTCTGATGAAAGGAGGTCTGTCAATTCGCCCAATTTTGCGTTTATTCTCTATGGGAGCCTTGGGAGGTGACTTTTTTTAAAGTCTTGATTCTACATTCCAGTCTTGTTTGAGTAGGTTCAGTTATATTGTAGATGAAATCGTTAACGATTTCATATCATGTTATAAAATGCTACTATCATTATGGTCTATCTATATGTCAGGTATCCTTGATCATTATGGATCTATGGAACATAGATTGAGAACAATAGTCATTATGATTTGAAAAGGTTTTTGATTAAAAAAATTAAATCAGTTTACTTTAAACTATACATCGGTTTTAATATGTATTGGTGAATAAATTCAATTTGATTTAATAGGGTTTCCTTGCTTTTATGTGTACAGATTGTGTTGTAATTTATAACTTGATGATTGAAAGGTAATCATTGGTCTTTTTCTTTTTTTCATTCTTCTGCAGATACAGTATAAAGCCAAGCAAGGTGTGGAGAGAGATTTTGCTTAGTTGAAGCCAGTTGAAGTGAAGGTTTGTTTATGTTAAGTTAATTACCAAATGGATTTCATACCTTATCATGATAACCTATTAGTTTTTTAACCTGTTCAAGACATATTGACCATTTAGAGAAGATATTTTGCTTAATTAAAAAAATGCTTTTAACCCTTATAAGTTGGGGTTGGGGGGGGGGGCATGAATATCCCCCTCCCCTCAATTAAGTTCACGAATTCAATGTTCAATTCTGAATTGGTCATTAATGTAATTCTGATTTGAAAAGGTTTTTGATGTAGAAATTGAAATAAGTTAAAACTTTACATCAGTTTTACTATGCATTGGTGGAATATATTCAATTCAATAGGGTTTCCTTGCTTTTAGTTTTACTGTATGTGTAAAGATTGTGTTGTAATTTATTACTCGATGATTGAAAGCTAATCTATCGTTTTTTTCTTTTTTCATGGATATCATACCTTATCATGATAACCTATCAGTTTGTTAACCTGTTAAAGGTACTATGTCCCTTTTGCAGCCAACCTCAAATTCTGTAGAACTTTGCAGGAATTATGAATACCGTATTTGCCGGCGTAAAGGCCGCACCGCCGCATAGGCCGCACCCCCAACTTTGACATTTCGTAGAGAGAGAAAAAAAAGAAGAAAAAAAAAAGGAAAAAAAATAAACGGACCAAAGAAAATAATCATAATTTTGTCGTAGAACTCTATTTTTCCTACAAACTAATACCAAAATTATCAATCATTTTATAAATTTACAGGAAGTTTACCTAAAAAATGATCGTAATTTAGCAAATCTTCATCGATTTTTAGGCAGATTAGCACATTCATTGGACACTAGAGGGCGCTTCGCATGCATACAGAAACATGAATGGCCTGCCATAACCAAGCTGTGGCCATAATGTTATCCGGTCTTACCCCTATCGTACCGCCAAATGGAGAAAATAAACAAGCTTTTGTATTGTTATTAGAGATCTACCGAGGTTAGTTTGTCGCTTTAATTAATTAGATAGTCTCAATTATAATTAAGAATTATCTTACTGGAAAGTTAAGAACACCGACGATTGCGCGCTATGAATCTCCGAGCTGCGTTGGATTTGTTGCAACTTCCAGCCCGGTAGCTCCCCACCACAGAGTGTGTGAGCGAGGTATGATTTTGGTTACCGGGCCATGCGCTGACTAAGCCAAGGACATTTTTACAAGTACGATTTTTAGTACGAGTTTCTGGTCAGTTTTCTTCTTATTTCTTTGGTTGCACAACGATTAAAAAGATAACTTCTTCAAATTTGCTGCTGACGTGGTTCAGACTAGATCTTGTCCGATGTGTTTTCAAGTCCGAAAGACGTGACTCAGTTTCGAACCTGCGTCCTCGGCTGAATCAGTTTGTAACTTCCATTTTTAGCTGGATTACAGGCGCCCACGCCACAAGGCCCTGTTAAGAGAGGAATATCATGATTTTGGTATCAGAGAGAGGGCCCCCACTTATTTGACTTAACTTAAAGGTAAAGACCAGTTATGGTCATGCGATTGTATTGTGAAAGAAATGTTGTGGAATGGATCAGAAAAGGTTGATCATCTAGCCAGGGGCGTACGCAGGATTTTTTCAAGGGGGGGGGGGGGGGTTTTAAAATATTTTGCTCCCGAAAATTTGAAAATCGCGCCAGCCGAAAAGTCGCTCAGTGGAGGGGGGGGGGGGGGGGAGCGGACACTTTTTTTTTTTTTAAATAATTAAAAAAAATATATATATACCAAAGGGGGGGGGGGGTTTAAACCCCCCAACCCCCTCCCCCCCTGCGTACGCCCCTGCATCTAGCATACATAAGTATTGGTGTGTACTGCAAGTTTCTGGAATCATCAAAATGATAAGAAACTGGGCCCAGTCTTCGTAAAGTTACAAGCACTGTACACAGAAAGATGTATATGGGACTATACGCACACGTGCGCGACACATGCATGTATCTCTCACAGACCATGAGAGAAACTAATTTCCCAAATATATCAATTAGTAGGCGGTTTCCCGGCAAATTTTTTATCATCATGTATTAGTCAAAACATATTCTTTCACATGATTGATAATAAGAGCTTCCATTTCATTTCTTGAAATTGGGGCGTTTCCAATACTGGTCTTTATCTTTAAGTGCAACTTGGCCCTATCTTCCCCAGGGGGGGGGGGGGGGCTTTAGAAGTCCCCCCCCCCTCTACATTTTTTAATGCCAAAGAATCTTGCGCTAAAATTTTATGACTTTTTTCTTTCGAGTCTTGCGCATCTTTTTGAAATAAATTTTTCGAAAATTGTACCCACTGTTACAAAAATCATGTGACCCTTTGTCTTTGTATGTCAGCCCGAAAATCGCTCATTTGTTGTGATTTGTGTACAAATTTACAAAACATGGAAATCTCATTTTTCCAAAATAGAGATAAAACATTGGTTATTTGGTCTTGTTTATAGTATAGGTGTTTATTTTGGAGTTCAAAATAGACTAGTTGAATTATAGTTAGAATTAGAATAAAACAACAAAAACAATAAAATACATAAATTAACAAAACTAAGAAATACATATAAAATTATCAAATCAATAGAAAACATGGGCGCCGCCTTTCCGGTGACGGCGTAAACAACAGTTTTGATATGATTTTAAAAGTATAAGATCTTATTCAATGAAAATTGGACTATTAGGGTTATCAAGTATCCCCAATCATGTGACGAGAATTTCAGGTCACAAAGTCAAGGTCAAAGGTCTCTCGATCTGCCTCTCGATCAGCACGTAGTACAGTGCTAGAGCCTTGGGTCAATATGCATTAGTATTGACCATCTATGCTTTGCTGGAGTTGATTTGGGTAGGGTTGGATTCTCAGAGCCAAAAGGCCAAATCAGAGGCTAACAAACGAAAGAGACAGAAATTCATTTCGGTCGACAAGTACAACTTTCTGTACTGTTGATAAAAGGTCTGATCAGTTGTATACTGTAGTAGTAGTACAGTACTTTACCCAAGTGCATGTACAAAAATGAGGTTTGATTTGGACTTGTCATCTTTAACCACAAATTTGTATAGACCCAATATCATATCGTCAAAGGTGCTGATGGAGAGACCGTCGGTGTAACAAGGCACTGTGGCTGTTTTTTCCTTGCACAAATTATACTATTTTTGTATGATCACGGCACCTGTCCAGGACAAGCACCAGCACACAACACATAATCTTCAGGATTGAAGGACACATGATTTCTTTGAAGTTTGGTTGCACGATTGGAACAACAAATGTTAAAACCATAATGTTTTTGTTTTTTGATTACCGGTATTCACAAATTTGTATCCCATAGAAAACACTTGAATTGTGGTGTACCGGTAATTAATTGAGGGAAAGATAGGCCAAATAAAAAAACAAACATGTTTAGCGTCCTGTTTTTTCGAAAAATAGGAAGGAGGGGGCCCTTTTTATTTTTTATTTTTTATTTCAAAATGGCCGCTCAAAATGGCCGCTCGGTACATTTTCCCTGACAGTCGGGGCTATTTTTTTTCAAGATGGCCGCCGACAATTTTTTTTTTTTTTTAATCAGAAATAGAGCCATTTTAGCAGTGTTTTTCATGTTTTTTTCTTTCAAAAAAAAAAAAAATTCAAAAAAAATAAAATAAAATAAAAAATAAAAAATAAAAAAAAATAGGAGGCGGCCCCCAAAAAGGAAGCGGGCGGGGACGCTAAACATGTATATTTTTTTAAATGGCCATATATATCTGAACATACGCACTTCAATTACTTACTCCTTGCATGCACTATGAACATGGCGGACAAAGAAAGCGGACAAAATATACAGTTCCTCAGGTAGACAAAGGAACATCCCTTCACTGCTATTATGTAAAAAGGTGAATATGCATGTGACACCTGTTCTACACATTTTTAAATAATAGCAGTGAAGGGATGTTCCTTTGTCTACCTGAGGAACTGTATATTTTGTCCGCTTTCTTTGTCAGTCATGTTCATAGTGATGGTGCATGATGGTAAAATATAAAAATTTGCAGTAGTGTGTACTTCTTAAAAATAACAGCTTGCATGTGAAATGTGCAAGCTGTTGTTTTTAGGGAGTAGGTGTGCTAAAGTGGGACTTTTCAAAACACAAGTGCTTTGACTTGTATAACATGCAGTCATGCACATATGCAAAATTCAGTGGCATGACCTGGCCCTGGGCGACTGAAAGCTAAGTAAGGAGGCACAATTCATCTTTGAGATCATTATATGAACATTTTGAAAAACAAACAGATACTGGTAATAGAATTCAATGTTTATTTAGGAAATAGTCATTATGATTTTAAAAGGTTTTTGATCAAAAAAATTAAATCAATTTACTTTAAACTATACATCGGTTTTAATATGTATTGGTGAATAAATTCAATTCGATTCAATAGGGTTTTCTTGCTTTTATGTGTACAGATTGTGTTGTAATTTATAACTTGATGATTGAAAGGTAATCATTGGTCTTTTTCTTTTTTCATTCTTCTGCAGATACAGTATAAAGCCAAGCAAGGTGTGGAGAGAGATTTTGCTTAGTTGAAGCCAGTTGAAGTGAAGGTTTGTTTATGTTAAGTTAATTTCCAAATGGATTTCATACCTTATCATGATAACCTATTAGTTTGTTAACCTGTTCAAGAAATATTGACCATTTAGAGAAGATATTTTGCTTAGTTAAAAAAATGCTTTTAACCCTTATAAGTTGGGGTTGAGGGGGGGGGGGGCATGAATATCCCCCTCCCCTCAATTAAGTTCACGAATTCAATGTTTAATTCTGAATTGGTCATTAATGTAATTCTGATTTGAAAAGGTTTTTGATGTAGAAAATTTAAATCAGTTAAAACTTTACATCAGTTTTACTATGCATTGGTGGAATATATTCAATTCAATAGGGTTTCCTTGCTTTTACTGTATGTGTAAAGATTGTGTTGTAATTTATTACTCGATGACTGAAAGCTAATCATTCGTCTTTTTCTTTTTTCATGGATATCATACCTTATCATGATAACCTATCAGTTTGTTAACCTGTTAAAAGGTACTATGTCCCTTTTGCAGCCAACCTCAAATTCTGTAGAACTTTGCAGGAATTATGAATATGTCATGTATGTCCTATCTGTGAAATTTAAACGTTAGCAGTGTCCTCATATTCAAATTATGCAAGGAAACCCGTTTACTTGCTAGACTTCACTGTCAGACACTATTGAGTGACTGACTGGCTTTTTTCTTCTTTGGTAATAACATACATGAAAAGAGTTGTAAAGGGTACATGAGCATTTGTCTACATCAATAACCCACTTCTTGTGACGGCCAAGATTAAACTGATTGAATCTTTGCGCAGCATAAAACGTATGACCATTCGGTACAATTGTCTGAAAATCAAGACTATTACTTTTGGGCTCTATAGCCCTAAAGTCGATTTGACAACTAATAGTCGTTATTTTCCCACTTGAAGACATTTTCAAGCCCCACCTTTTTTAGGGAAGTTCTAAATTAGTATTATCTTTCAAATGCAGTTGGAATTTAACTTTTTCATTTTTTTGGCCTGCAAATGGGACATAGTACCTTTAAAGACATGTTGACCATTTAGAGAAGATATTTTGCTTAATTAAAAAAATGCTTTTAACCCTTATAAGTAGGGGTTGGGGGGGGGGGGCGGCATGAATATCCTCCTCCTCTCAATTAAGTTCGCGATTATTTTGCATCCGCCTTAACCCTAAAAAGGCCAGGGGGGGGGCATTATGGCCCCCCCCCCTCCAGAATTTTTCTGATTATTCAGGAACGCATACGGATGGCGCCCCGCCACTCGCTGACTTTTTTCTTTCGAGTCTTGCGCATCTTTTGAAATAAAATTTTTGAAAATCGGACCTACCGTTACAAAGTCACGTGACCTTTTGTCTTTGCATGTCAGCCCGAAAATCGCTAATTTTCGTGATTTGTGTACAAAACATGGAAATCTCATTTTTCTAAAAAAGAGATAAAACATTGGTTATTTGGTCTTGTTTAAAGTTTGGGTGTTTATTTTGGGGTTCAAAATAGTTGAATTATAGTGAGAATTAAAATAAAACAACAAAAACAATAAAATACATAAATAAAAAAACAAAGAAATACATAAGAAATTATCAAATCAATAGATAACATAAGGAATAACCCCGCTCTTCCGATTTTTTTTTTGGTAATATTATTCCAAATGGTCTAAAAAATATATGTAGTGAAAACTAATGTTTAAATATGAATAATATATGATTTATGGGTACAAATGTGAATTGTATGACCTTATTTGCATAAATTACCATAAATATGGAAATGAATGAATTTTTCTAAAAATTAAATTTACCACAGTAGGCCTATTCTATACACTTCACTTGACATGCGTGCAAATTTTCGTGGCGATCGGCCGTTTCACAGCCGAGATCTTGCGGGGGGGCCATAATGGCATCATAATGGGGGCCATAATGGCCCCCCCCCCCGGCCGTATTAAGACCTCAAATAGCCCGGCCTTATTAGGGTTAAGTTGCGTCATGCCGATCGGTGACTTTTTTCTTTCAAGCGCACCTTTTGACACCATAATTATAAAGAAATCAGATGTACCGTAATTTACATGATGTTACAAGATCAAAATAGATATACAAAATAATATTGTTGAAGGTCCATGAAAAAACTCCTAAATTTTCATGTGAAATGCTACTTATTATATTTCTACTACTGTAGCAACCCTCTAAAATGCAAAACATTCCTGAACAAATTATCAAACACAACTTTATTTATGGGTTTTTTCAAGGTGCAATGTGTAACCCCCTCTAACAGTAAATTCTCCCAACTGTTTTTTCTTGTATATATGACGTAAAACATACTTTTTAAAATCTTCCACCACTCAAATGTTTGGATGGATTAGTTTAAAAGGAAAGTAACAAGAGTTCCAAACCTTGTTTAGTGTTTTTCTTGTTGATGTAAGTGTCAATTAATCGAAATTTTACTACACTTGTGTGTCATATTATCTTTTTAAAGTCATTGTTAGGACATAATGTACATTAGTAGTATTTTATATTTGTTTTATGTATATCTTGTTTCTATTTTGTTTCTGCAGATCCTTGAAGTTGAAGTTGGTTGAAGCAGAGGTGTGAGTGATAGCCAGCAAGAACACAAATAAACAGCAAGGTAGTTGTACAGTACATGACCTGGCACTCCAATCTGATTTTTGGTGCTGTACCTTTAAATTAAAGTGTTGGGGCCCTCAAAACTTAATGGCAAATTTCACCTGAAATGTAGAATAATGTTAAAGAGACTGCCATTTAACAGAGAAGTATGTTTGAACATGAAAATTAATGAAAGAATACAATATGTGTGTTCTTAGCGTACAACATAAAACCCAATTTTGTATTGTTTCAATAGTATTCACCTTCAAACACATGTTCTTTTTAAATCCTTGCAGAAGTGTGGTTAAATGACATTGTTTCTCACAACCTCATAGAATCTAAGTGAAATTTTGCTATATCAATTTGGGCATATTTTTGGTTCCAAACAATTTAGAGGGGCTTTAACATTTTAGGGACAGAAAATTGTTTTGAGACATTATCTCTAAATGACAGTGAGTACATGACATTTATGTACATAAAACATTTAGGATAACATTTATCTGTAATATGGGGTTTGAACATTGAACTTATACATGTATATTTTTTGGGGTGCAATTTATAACGTACAAAACTACAAAAGCTACAATACATAGTAGCTGAAAGACCAATATGCTCCCCGAAATTGCATCCGGGTGTTTAGTGTCCCTGAATCTCCTCAAGAAAACACCACTACAACAATCTGCAAGATTGCGCATCACTTTAAAACCGGAAGATATCGACCGATGTCACTGCATTCGAAGACGGAAACCACCTCCCCATCCAAGATCACGGCCAAAACCAGCGGCCATCATCGTGCAGCTGACATCATATCAACATCAACAGCGGCTGATCGTCGAATTTGAAAAGGAACGGAATGACCTGCGAGGATCTGACTGATGCCAATCGTACTCTCTTCCATGATGCTTTCATCGCAAGCAAGAAACAGAACAGTGAGATACAGGCAGCATGGTCGATTGGCTGACGGATCATTGTCTCTGTGAAGACATCACACGGTAAGAGCGTGAAGAAACAGGTTCATGACAAGAACGAACTAGACAACATATGAACACAAACATTGAAATTGAAGGATCATGATTTCCTTCGGTCCTGCATTTTGTATACTTTTGGTACAGTAATATATTCACTAGACATATTTTTGTATTTTGTATTTATTTGGTTTAAAAACATGAACACGTAAAGTTCAGGAAGTGGAACTCATATTGGTTAAATTAAAAAAAAATTGAATACTGTAAACAAAATTGAACCAAAATATATACACTTAAGAAAAATTCTGGTTACAATACAATATTCAACGAGTGAAGCCAGGCTGGCTACATGTAACAAGACCAACGTGAGGGATGACGAGGAAATTGAGAAGAAGAGAAATGTTGAGGGAGAGGGGGACAGAAAAAGGGAGCGGAGAAGGAAAGAAAGAGAGGGAAGGGGAGATACATGTAGGGAGGGAGAGGGAGAGAGAGAAGGAAGAGTGCAAGAGAGCAGGGAGGTGAGACATAGAGGAGTGGGCACTCTGCCCCAAGGGCTTTTCCTATCACTCAGAGTGGGATTATGCGGGATTAGGGGTCCAAGGAAAAACAAAATGACACCTTACGCGACGAGGTCACCCTGATGTTGTGAACTGATAGTCTAGGAATTCAGCTCTCGATGAGTGCAAAGAACAACAACAAGGTGAGTTTAGACATGATTTATTATTGTTGAATTTTTTTTTTTTTCCCGTTCCATTTATATTTATATTTCAACGTATTAGTAGTGGTAAACCCAGGTGGAAATCATTTTTTTAGGCAGACAAATTAGATTTTCTTCTTTATTTTGATGTATGACTCCACCGTTTGTTCTCGTTCGTTATATTGCACTGCACGGAAGACTAACAGTATGCTCGCGGTGGTAGAATCCAACTGGACATGTTGGTCCATTACATGAAATGAGATCAATCGTTGAAGGAAGGCTACATATGCATACAGAAGATAGGCTTTCCTCTTTAGATTCTAGGATCAAACCTTCTTCAATATGTCTGTAAGAAGATCCATATCATCTTCCAAATAATCGTCACGCGAGTATTTAAAAGCTGCCATGTCATGGGATGTAAACATATCCTACAATGCATCGCACATGCAAGCGGCTCCTGTTGATCAACCGACCTTGCACATGCGTTATGTGATCTTATTTACAACCGGGCGACCAGGCACCATTAATCCAATTTAGTGGATTGGTCGCTTGGGGAGTGCGGCATCGGGGATGGTTCAAAAGACCCTAATCCAGTTTTCTCTACTCTATGTCTCACCTCCCTGGGGAGAGAAAAGAAGAGCGATGAAAGATAGAAAGGGGGGAGAGAGAGAGGGGTAGGGATCGAGAGAGAAAGAAAAGATAGGGACTTTTTACATTTTATCTATTAAAGTTCTTCTATACATTTTGTACATACATGCAGTTGTTTCGTTTTTACTACTTTGTTTTAAGTGTAAAATTCATATTCCTTTGATCATTTTTTTGCATTTTTTTCTTCTTCAAATGTCGTGTCATGCTTGATTTGTATGTCTCACCTCCCTGATTTGTTCAATATCTCAGTGAAAAACATGTATGTATCAACCTTGACAGAATTTTTGTCACTATCAGGTCCCCAAATTACTACTAACTTCACTCAGTCACATTATACACCAGATAAATTTAATACGTTTGTATCACAGAAATTACCTGATACCGGTAATGATGTCAATAACAAATTATCATTTATTGATATTAATTGTAGAAGACTCCAACATAATGTTGATGCATTGTCTGTACCTATGATGTCATTACGTATGCAAGTTTCAATTGTTGGTGTTTCGAAAACGTGGCTAAGGGATGAAAATTCGCAATTTTCTCTGTGTAACTTCGATCATTATGACTTTGTGGGAAATAATAAATGACGTGGACGTGGAGGTGTTGGTATTTTTATTCGCAAGGACATTAATTTTAAACGCCGCTCTGAATTGGAAATTAATGAACAATTTTTAGAAAGTATTTTGATTGAAATTGAACATTTTAATTCAAATATTTTAATATGCGTTATGTACAGTATAGGCCACCCAGTCATCCAAAGGATGATTTTTTAATGTTTCGCGTTAATGTTTTAAATGTTGTTAACGTGGAAAAGAAATTATTTTATTTAATGGGCAATTTTAATATTGATTTATTAAATGTGGGAATGTTAAATATTTTTTTAACCACTTTATTGCTACATTCTATGAATCTTTTAATAAATGAATCACCTAATGTTACAGATCTATATTGTTATTAAATAATATTTTTACAAATGATTCTTGCCATATTTATTCTGGAATATTATTAACTGATGTTTCTGACAACTTCCCGGTATATTGTATTTGTGATATTGATATTCGCAAAAGTACTGTGAAACTGACTTTTATAGACGTGATTTAAACAAAAATAATATGAGAACGTTTTTGCACTTGAGGTATTCAACTAAATGGTATTTATCTAGTGATGTGAATAGTAGTTATGATAGCTTTGTTTTTAAATTCACAAAACTGTATAATTTGTGTTTCCGTGTGAAATTAGTTTGTTTGAAATATAAGCGTAAAAATAAACCTTGGCTTACAAATAAAATCATAAAGTTGAGTAAGAGAAAATGTACACTACATTGTATATAAATTGTATATTAAAAATCCTAATGATTATAGAAATGAAGTATGATAGGAAATTTGTAATAAATTGAATATAAGATTAAGATTGAAAAATAAGAAATACATCATTCAACAAGTGAAGCCAGGCTGGCTACATGTAGCAAGACCAAAGCGAGAGATGACGAGGAAATTGAGAAGGAGAGAAATGACGAGGGAGAGAGAGAGAGGAACAGAAAAAGGGAGCGGAGAAATAAAGAGAGGGAAGGGAAGATACGGAGGGAGAGGGAGAGAAAAAGAAAGAGAGAGGGAGAGATAAGTAAGAGTGATCGAGAGAGAGGAAGAGCGATGAAGATAGAAAGAAAGAGGAGAGAGATAGGGGAAAGAGAGAGAAGAGAGGGACCTTTTACATTTTATACATAGTTTCGTTTTTACTACTTTGTTTTGTTTTTAAGTGTAGAATTTATATTCCTCTGATCTTGTAAGGAAACAAAATTATCTTCAAATGTCGATGTGTTCAATGTCTCAATGAAAAACATGTATCTGTATCAACTTTGAAAGAATTTTTGTCACCATCAGATCCTCAAGGTACTAATAACTTCACTCAGTCATATTATACACCAGATGGATTCAATACGTTTGTATCACAGAAATTACTTGATGTCAGTAACAAATTATCATTTATTAATATTGATTGTAGAAGTCTCCAACATAATTTTGATGCATTGTCTGTAGTTATGATGTCATTACGTATGCAAGTTTCAATTATTGGTGTTTCGGAAACGTGGCTAAGGGATGAAAATTCACAATATTCTCTGTGCAATTTCGATCATTATGAATTTGTGAGAAATAATAAAAGACTTGGACGTGGATGAGGTGTTTTTTTATTTTTATTGAAATTGATCATTTAATCAAAATATTTTAATATGTGTTATGTATAGGGCACCCAGTCATCCAAAGGATAATTTTTTGATGTCTCTCGTAAATGTTTTTAATGTTTTAAATGTGGAAAAGAAATTATTCTATTTAATGGGAGATTTTAATATTGATTTATTAAATGTTGGGTTTATTAATGATTTTGTAAAAATTTTAATGCTACATTCTATGATTCTTTTAATAAATGAACCAACTCGTGTTACTGACAGATCTCCATTGTTATTAGATAATATTTTTACCAATGATTTTTGTCATATTTTGTTTGGAATATTATTAACTGACATTTCTGACCACTTCTCGGTATATTGTATTTGTGAAATTGATATTCACAAAAGTACTGTGAAACTGACTTTTAATTTTTATAGACGTGATTTAAACAAAAATAATATGAGAACGTTTTTACACTTGAGGTATTCAAATAAATGGTATTTATCTAGTGATGTGAATAGTAGTTATGATAGCTTTGTTTTTAAATTCACAAAACTGTATAATTTGCGTTTCCCTGTGAAATTAGTTTGTTTGAAATATAAGCGTAAAAATAAACCTTGGATTACAAATGAAATTATAAAGTTGAGTAAGAAAAAATGTAGACTATATAAGTTGTATATTAAAGATCCCAATGATTATAGAAATGAAGTATATAGGAAAATTTGTATTGAATTGAATAATAAGATTAAGATTGAAAAAAGGTATCATTGGTATACGATCTGATTAGATTTCGGAGTATGTAAATCATTGGAAATGAAACATGATAGATTTGATGAGTTTGAGTTGTACATGATCAAGACAGTTATGTGAATAGTGGGTAATTAGTTAACATTATAAACCACAATGTGATTGTGTGGGTATTAATCACTTTTAGTGATAGTTATTTCTTTCTTACTTTTTTTTTGTTTTTGTTTGTTTTGTTTCTTCTTTTCAATGTAGGACGAGTGTTGGATTGTCTGTGTTGGAGTTACTGGAAGGAGGTAGTGGTGTTTAAGTAAGTATTAGGGGACTTGAGTTGAAAGTGTTCAGCCTATGGTCATGGTAGTAACTGTTCAAAAAGGATTAATTATGTTATGCCATGTAGTGGCACTGATTTAATCTTACCTATGTTTTGACTTTATCTTACCTATGTTTTGACTTTAAGGTCAGTTGAGCTGATTCTATAGGAAGGCACAAAATGAACAATTGTCAAAGCAAATACTATGATTATGATTGCACATGCAGCAATTAAAAAAAAATGAGATTACATTGTGAAATAAGCCTACAATGAGATCAAATAAATCTGTTGGCATATAGGGTGAAAAAGTTTTAAACCATGGGATTGTTTAAGGCCAAAATTTGGATGATATAGTCATTCATTGGAAACCTCCATGTTGTGTTGAGATCATGGGTCAATTATATAGGTCAAAGTTTAAATTAGGTCAAATGTTATGGCATACCTGCAGGACTAAAGAATAAAAAACATTTTACACATTGAAAATCCTTATTTGTCAAACCTGTATTGCACATTCTGTGTATACCTCTGTCCGAATAGGGGAAAGTGGTTAGACTTTTGTGACAATTAATCTTGTAACTTTTATATCCTGTCCAAAATGATTTTTACTAAAATGATTACTTGGTATTCTGCTATTAGCCATAATGGCTGGAATTCACAAAGGTGGTTTAGATTTAGACCACGGTTTATGCTTTTTATGGCTATATTACATTGCGCTGTTTACATTTTTAATGTGCAATAGTACCTGTGTTTTCAAGATCTTCACACTTGGTACAAAAATAAGGAAGAATAGTTTTTGGTGTTATATATCAAGGTTATGTTTACATAGACATTTTCTGCTTGACAAGTCAAATAATTATATTGAGGGCTACGGCAATACTGTGGTTCATGGGAAGAAGGAGGCATACCAGTAGACTGCACACAGTCGAATCAAATGAAACATGTCTCAGCCATCATATTAAGCCCATCAATTGTAGACTCTTCCATTGGGTGTTGCCAAAATTTGAATAGAATCCATCAAACATGTAAGGAGTTGGTCAAGATGAAGAAAAAAAGGGGGGGGGGGTGTTAAACACATAGTGCAAACATGCACAAATATCTTGATTTTAGTCTAATACAATACATATTGTACATGTGACCTTGCCTAAGTCGAACTTGGATAAGTCAAAACTTGCCAAAGTCGAAGGTCTACACAGAGCCCAACCTGTTTTGTCCTATTGTTTTATGACCCTCGGTCTCTCAGAAAGCTATTTTATGGATCCCAAGAGATTTTAGTTACTGTATGTAAGGTTGATTATGTATTCAATTTTCTGTCTCTGTTCTTTTGGCAGGTACTGGTTGCTTTGGAAGGCAATTTGTGTTTGTGTTGTTATTTATCAAATCATCTTCATTTTTCAAAACATTACATACCATACCATTCCATCTTCACCCTCAGAACTCGTGATCTTGAGTTTTTGAGAAAAGCAGTACTCATTCAGAAGTTCATTTGAAGTTTCATCCAGAATCCCATTCCCATTCTATCATATTCAAAACATTACATACCATACCATTCCATCTTCACCCTCGGAACTCGTTATCTGAGTTTTTGAGAAAAGCAGTACTCATTCAGAAGTTCATTTGAAATTTCATCCAGAATCCCATCCTAAAGTCTGTTTATTGGCAACTCACGACAATAAGCCTCTAGCACTTATAAGCTAGTCGGTGAGTCAAGAAGAGTTGTGGTAGACAGCAAGAGAAAGTCTGTTTATTGGCAACTCACGACAATAAGCCTCTAGCACTCATACATAAGCTAGTCGGTGAGTCAAGAAGAGTTGTGATAGATAGCAAGAGAAAGTCTGTTTATTGGCAACTCATGACAATAAGCCTCTAGCACTTAAGAAGCTAGTTGGTGAGTTAAAGAAGAGTTGTGATAGATAGCAAGAATCACATTGAACCACAATTATTCTATTGAAACCTGAGAAACCTTGAATCAAGAGCTATTCTTATCACAGAAGTGATTCTTATAACTTTTTTTCTGAATCTATTCTAAGCTGTCTGAACTTTTCTAATTACAGAAGTAATTCCTACAAGACAGAGGTCTTGATCTTTTGCTACAGAAGTAGCCCTACTTTCTTGTGATACTTTATTTCTGAATCTACTCTATCTTACTGAACTTCACAAATCTTCTCCTATTTTACAAGCTTTCTAAATATATTCTTTATCACAGAAGTGATTCCTACAAGATTTCTGAATCTATTTTATTCTAAGCTGTCTAAACTTTTCTTACCTATTCCTATTACTGAAAAAAGTGAGCTTGATTGAGTGTAAAGTGAATAAAGCAGAATTGATTGAAGAGAGTTTGGAGCTGAATATATAGAAATAAACGTAAGATTGATTGATTGTAAAGTGCATAAGCTGAAGTGATTGCAGAGAGAACAGAGTTTGGAGAAAAGACAGAAATATATGTGTGATTGATTTAATTGCAAAGACAATAAGAGTTGTAAAAGTATAAGTGAGCCTAAGTGATTGCAGAGAGTAAGACAAGAGCTTTGGTCAGGATATTCTGAGATTGAGACATACAAGTGAGGTTGATTGCAGAGAAAGAAGTTTTGGTCAGGATATTTAGAGATTGAGACATACAAGTGAGGTCGATCTATTGCAGAGAAAGAAGTTTTGGTCAGGATATTTAGAGATTGAGACATACAAGTGATATTGATTGCAGAGAAAGAAGTTCTGGTCAGGATATTTAGAGATTGAGACATACAAGTGAGGTCGATCTATTGCAGAGAAAGAAGTTTTGGTCAGGATATTTAGAGATTGAGACATACAAGTGATATTGATTGCAGAGAAAGAAGTTCTGGTCAGGATATTTAGAGATTGAGACATACAAGTGAGGTTGATTGCAGAGAAAGAAGTTCTGGTCAGGATATTTAGAGATTGAGACATACAAGTGAGGTTGATTTTTCTTTATTATGGAATTTGAAGGTGATCAATTCAAGGAAGTGATACAAGAGATTGTAGATATGCTATGGAGTTGTGCATCAGTTCTCGATCCGCAGAATGAAGAATGTTGCGTATGTAGGAATACAATTGAAGAAAGTGAAAACCAAGCTACTTGTGAGAGCTGCAATGAATATTATCATGTGACATGTATGGGTTTTTTGTGTCAAGATCGAGTGAATGAGCGGAGATTAATCTGGATTTGTTCATCTTGTGGTAATAACAACATTGCGCATCGACTGTTTGATAAAGTATGTATCCCCTCTCATTTGAATAGATACCAGCCTCTTGAGACAGTAGATGAAGAATTTGATGATGATGTGCCCCTCTTACCCAAGCAAGATGGCACACAAAAGAAATCCAAATCAAAGAAAAGGTATTTTAAGAAATGCAAGAAAATCAATATAGAGCCAGGAAATCATAGTGAGTTTGACACACGTGAACATGATCCTGTAGTCACTCAAAGAGATTCCCCCAAACAACGTGATAAAGTGCATAGTGAAGAAGTAGATAGTAGTGAATGGATGAAGGTGAAAACAAAGAAGGCAAGGATGTTGGAAAAGATGCAAGAAAGAATATCGCAATTAACAGCAAAAAGTGACAGTGGAACAGGTCAGGAAAAGAGAATCATAAATGGTGTTGTTCTAGAACCTGGTGTAACATACATTGGCAAAGCAATGAAATCTTTCTATGAAAGACGGAAAAGTAGAAAATCAAAACGCAAAGTAGACATCAAACTAAACAGAGATGTAGAATGTCGGAAAGTAAAGGATAATAGTGTTCAAATGTACACAGAAACATTGCTAGATGAATATGCAAAGTGTGTGCAGTCACCACAGTCGATGATGTACCATGAAACGCACCTCTACAAACAAAACAACGTGAAGGAGGAACAATCTTGGGCTGATGTAGTAGGCCATGTACAAAATGAAACAACACAGACAAAATCTATTGTTGGCAGTGTGACATATAGTCATGTTTCTTTGAAACAATCCAAGGGCAAAGAACAGAGCACATTCAGAGTATGTGGTGGTGCAAAACACTCACAAAAACCTGAAGTAGGAAACAAGAAAGTCCGTGTTCTAAAGGGCAACAAAACATCTTGTGGAAAGTCAGTTGATTCTAAAGTATTGAAAATGGAAGTATTGAACGATAAAGGAAAAGGATGTGACGGAAAGACTAAAAGCGTGGGTGAAGTAAAGGTAGATAAAGGCAATAGTACTACTGTAATCGAGGAGAAATTGTGTGGCAGTGATAAAGACATGACAGAAATACAGTCCAAAGCAGCAGAAAATGGTCAGGTCATTAATACTTTTGAGGTTGGTAACCAAGTCACTTACAAAACAAGCAGTGAGCATGATGATGAATGTGCAAATGATCAATTTGTCAAGTCACAGAAGTTTATTCCTAAGAAAATGTTTGGAATGGAACATGACAGTAAATTCCATAAACAGTCAGTCAACACGTCTAATGTAAATTTAGAAGAGAAGCAAATCCCAAATGAAAACATATCAAATATGGAACAAAATACACTTGTGAAATGTGTTGCCATGGGCAATTTTCATCAAGGAAATGCTAGATTTGGATTTTATTCTGGAAAGCAATGTGTTTCTAACAGTTTTGCTGCTATTTTATACAGTAAAATTACAGATGTTTCCCAATGGCAAAAACAAGATCTTGACAAGGTATTGATTTATGGTAATGAGTTGTATAAATTTATTCAGCTTAGTTCTGCAATAAATGATAATTTCTTGTTGATATCTGAATTACCTGATCAATTAGAAGCTTTTGATGTCCATTATAAAATGCAATGTTCTCAGAGTGTTATGGGTACAATTTGTGGAGATGATTTTTTTTTGATTAATTTTAATGCAGTAACATTGAAAGATGCTCTCCATCAGGAATTGGATAGACATGATGCATGCTTTTGTACATTTGGTGGCCAAACATTTGCAATCATATCCACACGAAAACAATATTTTATTTTTGATTCACATTCTAGAGACAGGCATGGACTTATGACAGATGATGGGACCAGTGTCGTTCTATGTACATCAAACTGGAAAGGTGTGTACGATCATATTTTGAAATTAGCTGAATCTATGGGTATCAATAAAAACCAGACTGAATTTGAACTTACAGGTATAATTGTGAATCTTATCAATTCAAGCGAGATTACTGTGACAGAACATGGTGATAATGGTCATGTGGGAAAAGATGAACAGGACTATATGAATGTAGTTGAAAGTAATGATAGATTTTTCTTGCCAACAGATAGAACTGACAAAAGTAATAAATGTGTTTCAACAGATATGTCTGATTGTATTGAAATAGATGATGATGAGGATGACTGCATGATAATTGATGCAGAGCATGATACAAATTATTGCAAAGATTTCCCTAGTGGTGCTCCCTCAGATAGGCCTGATTATATCAATATAGATGATGTTGATGATGATGATTGCATAGTAATTGATACAGAGCATGATACAAATTATTGCAAAGATTTGCCTAGTGGTGCTCCCTCAGATAGGCCTGATTCTATCAATATAGATGATGTTGATGATGATGATGACTGCATAGTAATTGATACAGAGCATGATACAAATTATTGCAAAGATTCCCCTAGTGGTGCTCCCTCAGATAGGCCTGATTCTATCAATATAGATGATGTTGATGATGATGATGACTGCATAGTAATTGATACAGAATACAATACAAATAACTTCAAATATTTCCCAGTCCATTCAAGTGAAAAGAAAAAAGTGTGTGCTAAATTTAATATTACAGATACTTGTATCAGTTCCAAATCAGATACCGATATGTGCATTAATATTGGTACTCCTGCTATTATTACTAATATTACTGGCGATGGAAATTGTTTTTACAGGTCAATCTCTCTTTGTCTGACAGGGAAGGAAGTTAATCACAACATTCTGAGGCAGACATGTATCCAACATTTGCTGCAAAACTCACATATATTTGCTGGTTGTTTAAGGTATGAATTTTCATCAGTTAAGGACTATGTCAGTAGAAATAAACCACAAATCAATAGTAAATGGGCCACTGAGGTAGAGATTGCTGTGATGGCACATCTGCTTGAAACAGATATATTGATTTACAGTGATACATATCTGAATTGGAGACTGTATTCATGGGATAACCCTGGACGAATTGTACATGAATCAAATATGAGAGGCATTTATCTATTACATGTTAAAGGTGTACATTTTGATTATGTTGAATCTGTCGAATGTATTGATTCGGGTATTGACGAAGGAAAAAAAACCAAGGAAATTGAACCATGTTCAATTCATGAAAAGAAAAGAATGGGTGAAACTAAGGAAGTTACATGTACTATAAAAAGATCTGTTCATAGTGATATGCTTGAAGACAATGAAAGTGAAAGTGATACAATAATTATTGAAGATATTAAATATTCCAATTTATCAGTCTTGAAAAATGGTGTTACTGATGTTAAATGTATTGATTTGGTTATTGACGAAGGAAAAAAAACAAAGGAAGTTACATGTAATAAACAGAGATCTATTCATAGTGAAATGCTTAAAGACAATAAAAGTAAACTATCCAAACAATATGCATCTTGTGCAACGAAAGATGAAATTGATGAAACGTTTATGCCAAGTCTAAGCGGAAAAAGTGAAGACATCTTTATTTCCAAAAGAAAGAGAAAAGGTGACACAATTCATGAAAGTGTAAAGTGTGCTAAATCGAAAAAGATGTCTTTTCCACGAATGCATAGATATTGCAAAACAAAACAACCAAAACTGGAAAACGATGAGAGGGCTAAAAAATCAGCTTCTAGAATTATTAGTTATCCATCAGAAAATTGTAATACTATTAATAGAGGTGTTGCTGATGTTTTAAATAAAGGAAACATGTTCATTGGAAATGACCCTTTAAAGATACTGAATGAAAAAATTGCATTGAAAAAAGTGTCAATTAGACTGATACGATTATCTGAATCTGAATTAAAAAATATTTCATTTGAATACGGATCTTGCGCAACGAAAGATGAAATTGAAGAAACGTTTGTGCCAAGTGTAAGCGGAAAAAGTGAAGACATTTTTATTTCAAAAAGAAAGAGAAAAGGTGACACAATTCATGAAAGTGTAAAGTGTGCTAAATCGAAAAAGATGTCTTTTCCACAAATGCATAGATATTGCAAAACAAAACAACCAAAACTGGAAAACGATGAGAGGGCTAAAAAATCAGCTTCTAGAATTATTAGTTATCCATCAGAAAATTGTAATACTATTAATAGAGGTGTTGCTGATGTTTTAAATAAAGGAAACATGTTCATTGGAAATGACCCTTTAAAGATACTGAATGAAAAAATTGCATTGAAAAAAGTGTCAATTAGACTGATACGATTATCTGAATCTGAATTAAAAAATATTTCATTTGAATACGGATCTTGCGCAACGAAAGATGAAATTGAAGAAACGTTTGTGCCAAGTGTAAGCAGAAAAAGTGAAGACATTTTTATTTCAAAAAGAAAGAGAATAGGTGACACAATTCATGAAAGTGTGAAGTGTGCTAAATCAAAAAAGATGTCTTCTCCAAAAATGCATAGATATTGCAAAACAAAACAACCCAAACTGGAAAGAAATGAGAGGGAAAAAAAATCAGCTTCTAGAATTACTAGTTATCCATCAGGAATTGTTCATACTATGAATAGAGGTGTAATTGATGTTTTAAATGATGAACAAATTGTATTGAAAAAAGTGACAATTAGACTTATACGATTATCTGAATCTGAATTAAAGAATCTTTCATTTGATCTTTTAAAAGATATAAAGAAAACACAATCCAGTGCTAACTTACAAGGTACAAATATTCCAGTAAAAGGTTCTACAATTGAATTCCCTAAAAAACAAATTAAAAAAGAAAACAAGAAAAGCAAATGTAAGCAGTCTTTAAGAAAACGACAACAATTAGCTAAAGAAAGGATGAAAGCAAAAAGGAAACCAATTAATGATCATGATGCATACGATAATGTTCAAAATAATGAGAAGTACATGGATGGTTGCAAATTCAAAGGAGATTTCAGTGATGTAAAGAAGACAAAAATGAAGCAAAAGTATCACTCTAACGAATGTTTCAGAGATGAAAAGAAAAAGAAGATTAAACAAAAGTATCAGTCTGACAAATCCTTCAGAGATGAACACAAGCAGAAAATAAAGCATAAGTATCAGTCTAATACATTGTTTAGAGATGAACACAAGAAGAAACTAAATTTGAAATATGAGTCTAATAAATCCTTTAGAGATGAACGCAAGAAAAAAATACATTTGAAATATGAGTCTAATACATTGTTTAGAGATGAACACAAGAAGAAAATGAAACAGAAAACAAAGCATGACTATCAGTCTAATAAATCTTTCAGAGATGAACACAAGAAGAAAATAAAATTGAAATATGAGTCTAATACATTGTTTAGAGATGAACACAAGAAAAAAATAAAATTGAAATATGAGTCAGATACATTGTTTAGAGATGAACACAAGAAAAAAATAAAATTGAAATATGAGTCTAATACATTGTTTAGAGATGAACACAAGAAAAAAATAAAATTGAAATATGAGTCTAATACATTGTTTAGAGATGAACACAAGAAAAAAATAAAATTGAAATATGAGTCTAATACATTGTTTAGAGATGAACACAAGAAAAAAATAAAATTGAAATATGAGTCTAATACATTGTTTAGAGATGAACACAAGAAAAAAATAAAATTGAAATATGAGTCTAATACATTGTTTAGAGATGAACACAAGAAGAAAATGAAACAGAAAACAAAGCATGACTATCAATCTAACAAATGCTTCAGAGATATGCGCAAGAAGAAAATAAAACATAAGTATCAATCTAACCAGCATTATAGGCAGAGACTCGCAGAAAAAAATAAAGAACGCGCTGGACTTAAGAAAATGAGTTTCAAAAAATTAGAAAATGTACTAGAAAATTTCAGAAATGTTATTTCTCATGGACCAGAATATGTCTGTTGTGTATGTCTGAAATTGCTTTTTCAAAGTCAAGTCTTAAAATGCATTAAACAAAATTACCAAAACAAAACGTGTATAAATGAGTCCTATTTACACATTTGCAATTCACAATGTAATGAAAACTGTCGATTGGCGCACTCATCTCGTGGACATTTATGGATATGCTTTACATGCCACAGAAAATTGTTGGTGAATAAATTACCAGCTGAGGCTAGTGTTAACAGTTTGCAATTGCATGAGATTCCAGATGAATTGAAGGACTTGAATAATTTAGAGCAACATTTAATTGCACGTAACATAAGTTTTTTCAAATTAATCCGTTTACCTAAGGGAGGTCAAAATGCAGTTCATGGACCAGTTGTTTGTGTGCCTTCGAATACAATGAAAACTGTAAATATGTTACCTCCACCAGAAAGAGAAGATCAATTAATCCGTGTGAAATTAAAAAGAAAAATATCTTATAAGGGCCATCATGAGTATAAATTTGTTAATAAAATTAAGGTGCTAAATGGGTTGCACTATTTGAAGAAAAACAATAAGTGGTATTCTGATATAAGTATTAATGAAAACTGGAATAATTCGTTGTCAGGAGAAATGTGTAGTGCAGAAACAAACGACAATGACGATTCAATTCAAAACTTTGAAGAACAGGAAACCGATGACCAAGAAGCAAGGTTAAATGGAATTCAACTTGATACCTGCTTGCAACCAGTTGATATTGGACAAGAAATCCTTGATCAACATTTTGATGATATTTTCTGTTGTGCTCCATGTGAAGGCAACAATCCCATAGCACTTCTTAGAGATGAAAGCAATGAACCAAAATCGTTTCCTGTATTATTTCCAAAAGGTCAACCAACTTATCATGATGTCAGAAGTGTACGAGTGACCCTTGGAAGGTATTTACAAAATAGGCTAATGCACGTAGATAATCGCTTTGCTAAAAATACAGATTTTATTTTTTATGCTCAGTGCATTTATGAAATTCAACAAGTTTTGTCCGGTGTTTCAATTGCATTGAGAAAAACATCAAGTAAAAGTGATACTGATGCACCAATCACTATCAAAGATTTAAAACAAATTGACAAAGTTCAGGACATATTAAAATCAGATAGAGGGTTTCGCTTTCTGAAACAGATAAGAGGTTCTCCTCCATATTGGTCTGCAACACAAAAAGATTTATTAGCCATGGTGAGACAGCTTGGTATACCTACATGGTTTGGAAGTTTCTCGGCAGCAGACATGAGATGGCCTGAAGTATTAAATACTTTATTAATGGAAAGAGGTGATAAACGAAAAATCAATGACCTAGATTGGACAGATAAATGTGAACTTTTAAAGTCAAATCCAGTGACTGTTGCAAGAATGTTTGACAAAAGATTTCACACTTTTTTGAAAAATGTTATTTTGTCTGAAGCACATCCCATTGGTCATGTAATAGATTATTTTTATCGTGTTGAATTCCAACAGCGAGGATCTCCACACACACATTGTTTATTCTGGGTAAAGGATGCACCAGAGCATGGATATAGTTCAGATGAGGAAGTAGTTTCCTTTATTGATAAATACATTTCTTGCAAGATACCTTCCGAACAAGAAGATCCAGAACTCCATGAAATAATCACTCATGTGCAGCAGCATAGCAAAAAGCATTCAAAATCTTGTAAAAAGAAGGGGAAAACATGTCGGTTCAATTTTCCAAGACCACCGTCTGATAGAACATGTGTACTTTATCCCAAAGAGGGTAACCCCGATGAAATTGATAGTGCAAAACAATTATTAGAATCTATCAAAAATGCTGTAAATCAGGAAAATAATTACACTAATGTTTCAGACCTTTTTAAAGATTGTAACACAACACAGACTGAATTTGAAAATGCAACTAGGTTATTAGCTAAACAAGAAATTTTGATCAAGAAAAGAGACCCCAAAGATGTATGGATAAATCAGTACAATCCTTTTCTACTGAGAGCATGGAATGCAAATATGGACTTACAATTTGTTATGGATGTTTATGCATGTGTTAGATATATTGTATCATACATTTCAAAATCAGAGAGAGAAATGGGAATGCTCTTAAGCCATGCTCAATCTGAAATAAATGAGGGAAATCATGATGCAAGAAAAAGTATCAGACAGCTCGGAAATGTCTACATGCAAAATCGAGAAGTATCTGCACAGGAGAGTGTGTATCGTGTATGTTCCCTTCGATTAAAAGAGTGTTCACGAAAAGTAGAATTTATTCCGGTTGGTCCAAATCCTGTTAGAATGAGTTTACCTTTACATGTTATTCAAAGTAGACCTGACGATGATGATGATGATAGGAGTCCATGGATGGCAAATAAACTTGATCGATATAAAGCTAGACCCAATGGAAGTGAATTTGACACTATGTGTCTTGCAAAATTCTGCGCATGTTACAGAATACTAACTGCATCGCAAGTGAAAGGCAATAAAACATCACCATATTTATTTGAATTGAAAAATAATTCGGGATACATTCAGAAACGAACAAGGTCTAGTGCTGCTGTCGTAAGATATCCACGATTTTCTAAAACAGTTTCTCCAGAAAAATATTACCTCAGTATATTGCAACTTTTCCTGCCATTTAGTAATGATGAGCAGTTAAAACCACCACAGTTTCAGACATATAAGGAATTTTATGAAACAGGTAGTGTCAAACTACAGGGAGGCAATTTGGAAAGTGTAAAATCAATAGTAGACAAACATTGTAAAGAGTACGAAAGAAATTCAAGAGCCATAGAACAAGCTGAACATTTCATGGACAAATTTGGTCCTCCAGAAGATGCGTGGGCTCTTTTATGTCCTGAAAGTGAAAAAGAAAGACTAGAAAATCCTAAGACGAACGTTGAAATGGATGAACCAGAATGTGAATTGGACATTCCAGATTTCAAACCTGAAAAAAAGAATGAAACTTCTAGTGTGGAATTTCGAAGGCATGGAATTTCAAAACATGAATCAAATAGTTTGATTCGATGTTTAAACAATGAGCAAAAAGAAATCTTTTACAAAATTAGACAATGGTGCTTAGAGAAAGTGAATGGTACAGAAAGTCAACCTTTTCATGTACTTATTAGTGGTGGTGCAGGAACAGGAAAATCTTATTTAATAAAATGTATATACCACGAAGCTGTACGCATACTTGGTAAAATGATGGTTAATCCTGATGACATTTCAATCTTGAAAGTTGCACCAACTGGCATAGCTGCATTCAATATAGAAGGATCTACAATTCACAGTGCGCTCTCAGTTTCAATCAACGCCAAATTTCCTTATCAACCACTTGGTGAAGAAAAAATTAACACCCTTCGTAATAAGCTTGGACAGTTGCAAATTTTGATCATAGATGAAATTTCCATGGTAGATTCCAAATTGCTGTACTACATACACGGTCGATTAAGACAAATTAAGCAATCACGCACTGATTGTCCATTCGGTAACGTTTCGGTATTGGCAGTTGGAGATTTTTATCAATTACCACCTGTGAAAGGAAAACCCTTGTATAAGGAATCAGTAGAACAATCGCTGTGGTCTGAAAATTTCAAAAAGGTAGAACTGGTTGAAATAATGAGACAAAAGGAAGATTTGGCATTTGCTCTACTCTTGAATAGATTGAGAGTTAAGGAAAAGAAAGACACTTTATCAGATGCAGATTTATCAATCCTTACCTCTCGTGAAACTGGTGAAGAATGTGAAGAAGATATGCACATCTATTCAACTAATAAACAAGTAAATGAATGGAATAACAGAATGTTGCACAGTAAATGTGAAGATATTATATGTATTAAAGCTGAAGACAGAAATAACAGCAAGGATAATGACGAAAGATGTACCGAACCATGTAAATCTAGTCAAAGTTCTTTGCCTAGCAATCTGTCAATTGCTTTGAATGCCAGAGTGATGCTTTTAAAAAATATTGATACCAATATAGGTTTGACAAATGGATGTATAGGTACAGTTGCAGAAATAGTAAAACGAAATAATGAATCCAAGCCATACTGCATCAGTGTAAAATTTGATAGCCAGAAAATTGGCATTCAATCAATCAAAATGTGTGAAGAATCAATGGGTAAAAATTACACGAGAAAGCAATTTCCCCTCAAATTGGCTTATGCTTGCACGGTTCACAAAGTACAAGGCATGACTTTAAATAAAGTAGTAGTGTCACTGAAAAAAATATTTGCATCTGGACATAGCTATGTAGGCCTGAGTCGTGTAACTTCTTTATCTGGACTTACCATTGAAGATTTTCATCCAAAAGTTATATACTGTGATCCAAAGATTAAAAAACACCTTAATGATATGAGCAATTTCTTGGAAACTTCTATAGCAGAGGAAACATATAATGATGGTTTATGCATAATGTTGCACAATATTCAAGGATTAAAACAACATTATGTAGACTTACAATGCAATCCAACATTCCTGAATTCTGATATTATTTGTTTGACTGAAACATGGCTATCGGATAAGGATGATGCTTTTAAATTATTCTTAGCTCATTTCAAGTTGTATCATCAATCAAGATATAACTCTTATTCTATCACAAGTGATTCAAGGCAACAGTTCAAGGACCAGTCACATGGAGGTGTTGCAGTTTATAGCAAGAATGAATTTTCAAGCAGACTTGATATAAAGATTGATAATCTAGAGTTTATTGCTTTTCTTATAACCTCTCCTGTTTCTGTTGTCATTGCAGTTGTTTATCGCCCTCCGACATACAGAATAAAAGACTTCTGTGAGTGTTTGAATAACTTATTAGAAGAGCTACATAAAGTGGGTACAAAATGTATTGTAATGGGCGACTTCAATGATAACTTATTAAAACAGTCATCTAGAATACAAGACTTGATGTGTAATCATGGCTATACACAACATGTAAAGCAATCAACCACTGAAGGTGATACTTTGATTGACCATGTATACAGCAAAGGTCTACCGTTGGTTGAAACAGAAGTGATTCCTATTTATTATAGTTACCATGAAGCAATTAAAATAAAGCTCTTTCAAATTTGACATTTTTGATTTTTCAATCGTATTGCAAGGTGATCCTTATCTGTTGATCTAAACTGCTCTAGACTTTATTTTGTTGAAGATTAAGATTAGGGTTGGAATTGGGTTCAAGGTTAGTTCTTTTAACTAAGTGAACATTAGATATAGTATGTGGTCCAGAGCTGTATTTGGGAATTGGTTCATGTAGAAAATTTGACCACGGACTTATCATCTTTGGAGCATTTTTACTTTCTCTGATTGAAGCTTTCTCAGACCTAATCTTCATTGCATTAATTAATAAAAATTGAATCTGGATTCGATCTCCACCACAAACAGCAGCGACACTTCTGCCCCAGAGATCACGTTCTGTCTCAGTAACGTCTTCGTCTAGGCTGCGGCGGGTGCCAGCACTGCCACAGCCTCCTGGGACGTCTCTACAACTATGGACGCCTCAGAACCCATCACAGCAGTCAGCAACTACTCGCCTGGTGATTCCTTTGATGTTGGCACTTATCTGGTCATAACGCTGGTTTCTACTCAACATGCAGCTTTGAGGTCACTGTCACTTCAAGTGGAGGTTAGTGATTGTCCTTTAATTATTTTAAAGATTTGTTTTGGGAGTGTAAGACATTATTGTGAAATCATGCTTTGAAAAAAGAACTTGCTTTAACTGACCCATTTATGTATAGAGTACCAAGGTGTGACGTCATACTGGCCAAGTTGTCAAGGTTGCTGGTTCCAAACAATTTGTGCTAAACCATGATGTGGTGATCATACCGGTGCCAAACACTGACTTTGCCCTGCTCTAGCTTGTTGTTTGAATGATTGTGCAGTGAACCTCATTGACAGGCTCTGTTTAGAACCAGTAACCTGGACGACAAGTGAACATGACGTGAACCCTTTACTCTCTATTACAGCAACTGTTTGGTTCAAATTTTTACTGCATATAAACATTTTGCTATGTTTGGCATTTGTCTGTGTTTCATGAGCAGATTAAAATTGTAAAAATGTAGGTAGTGAAATGATTCAAATTTGTACCATATCTGAGGAGATAAATATATCTCTGGATAGAGGAAGCACCTCATATTTCTTAAAAATGAAGACTGCATGTACATATTCCCTATCTCTGACATAATTTTCATCCAATTTCTTTGTCACAGTGGTCATCGACAGAAAGAACCCCATCCTGACCGGCTGTCTGACCGACATCGTTGCCAATGCCGGCCCTGGTACCTCGACCACGATGGTTTCATGGCTGGCTCCTGTGGCATCAGACAACTCTGACTCCGCTACCCCGACGGTCAACCGACCACTAGGCAGTTCTTCCCTGTTGGATCTACTGAGGTCACTTACACAGCTACCAACCCCACTGGGAACTTTGTCACGTGCAGTTTCGACTTCAATGTCTTGTCTACCGATGGTACGTCCTGTATAGAGACTCCTGTACTTGATTCTTGATGGAGTAATCCCTTTAGCAGCTCACTCAGGAAGCTATACTGGGACTGGGATGATAAGTGAGGCTAGTAGCTGTAAGGCGTGTCATGTAGTGCAGAAATGGTGTGTGGAAAAAGCACCTATCAATTTACAGTAAATTGATACTTTAAAGATTTAGCTGATGTTCTTTCACACTTGCATAATACAATGATAACGCTCACAAATTTTTGTTCACCTCTTCCCAGAACTCAACCTTCTCTTTAAACTGACCCCACGCCACATGCGCCTAAAATAATTCCACCATGTCCAATGTCCATTAGGTGGCTTAGCGAAATGGGGGGGAGGGGGGGGGGGTGGGGGGGGGGGACAAAAAGACGCATCCGCAAGGCAGAAGGCATGATAGGTAACATTAAGCCCAATCAAGATAGTACATGTATTTCCCAGCTCCATACCCCAATTACGATTATTGTTCTACCTTTGTATGATTAACTGATGATTTTTAACAATTATGCACTAGAACCTAACCAAAATCAAAATCGTCTTTGATTTTCATTTTGTTCCTATCGTTTTGTGCAAAATAGCATGTGTGACAAACGAGCGAAGATCGTAACTAAAGTGTTGAAAATAAGCTCTAAATATTATTCTAATAAACTTGTTGATTTTTCTTAGACAACACAGCCCCAGTCCTGTCGAACTGCCTTTCAGACCAAACCGTGTTCGCCTCTCAAAACGCCCAAGGTGCTGTAGCTACGTGGTCAGCACTGACTGCTACTGATAACTCTGATGACGTCATGTCGATCACAAGTGACTTCAGCTCCGGAACCCTTATCCCGGTTGGCGTGACCACTGTGACCTTCACTGCTACGGACAGCTCTGGCAACATGGACACTGTGATTTCTCTGTTTCAGTCTTAGGTCAGTTAATGTTGATTTGTCAGCAAGTTCTGCACTTCCTTAAGTAACTCTTTGGCATGTCGGAAGTGTTTTAAAGGTAAGCCTTTACACCAACAGGCACCGCAACACGTGGGCACTCAAAATCTGAGTCTGGACCCCCAAAATTCTGACCCCCTTCTAGAAAAACTGTTGTGAAGACCTGTTAAAGGTTTACAAAGTATTAGGCAGCTGTGAACATAAATTGACATCCAAACTACCGGTATTGTTTCCCTTGATGTCTGGTTCGACCCAAGCTCTGAGGGGCATATTATAACTCATCTTATAAAATGTTTTGATCGATAAATCACAACTCCAATCAATTGCATAAGTACAAACTGAAATTGAAATTGGTATCGAGTTGCTATCAATTTGCATGAACCCCATCTGTTTATGTCCTTGAAGTGCAATAGCATTTTATCTACCTTCCTCCCCATATGGGTGTTTAATAAATAAATAATTAGATAAGCATGTGTGGGCATCTATTAGAAAGTGACTAGCTGGAATGCCCTCCCAGGGAGTGGAGAATGTGCACTGTAATGTGCAAAATAATAATTGAATCCAGTGACCTGGGTAATAATAATACTGTATTGCGCTTTGGTCAGTTAATGGTCAAGTACTATGTGAGAGACAGACATTATTACAGTCAAACCTGTTTAGCGACCACCTGCATAGAAAGGCCACATATTTTGTTTCCCTTGAATATTGTTTCTCATTGAAACCTGTTCATAAAGACCACCAGTCTTTAAAGACATTTAATGTCTCCCTTGAACGGTCTTTATATACAGGTGTCACTGTATTATTATCATTATTATTGTTATAATCATTGTCATGTGTTTGTGTGTATTTTCAGTTGGTGCCAACCCTTGTTCCAGCAACCCATGCGCTCCCAGTGAACAGTGCTTCTACATCCCATCCCGATACCTGTGTATCAACAACGGCAGGAGGAGGAGAGAAGCTGAGATGCTTGACCTTAGCTGTAAGAACATTCTGTTATTCTGAATCTGTCCTCTTTCTGTCTTTGGCATCCATCCATCAGACATGGGCCTTGTTTTATAAAACCTCTTATCAATAATTAACGCTAAAATTCTATGACAAATTTGCTCTCAGCCAATCAAATGTGTTGATTTCAGTATCTTATAACAGTTATAATGTTACTTGTCATTGAGAACAACTTGGTATTAAAATTTAGTTGCTCTTTCATGGAAAGCCTTGACAACCTGGTGGGGCATCAGCAAAAAGTGGCATTCAATAAGTTTGTATGCCATTGAATAAATTATATCAGCTTTGGAATTTTTTTACTTGACTTGGCTCTCATATACCTATTTTTCATGAGCAAAAGATTTATAGTTTTTATCTTTTATTTGAATGTTTTATACTGATGTTGCCTTATTTTCTTTATACAGATATCTGCCTTTGCCAGAATGGCGGTATGTGTCTCCTAGACGACGCCACATCCTCGGCCACCTGTGAATGCCCCGTTGGATACGCTGGTGTGCTCTGTGAGATGGGTAAGACACCTACTCCTTCCATACTAGCTGTTCTATGAAGATAATCATCGAGATTATATGGAAACCGTTCTATGAACGGGTTACCAGCTATTCTGCATATCAGGGAATATAAAGAAAAAAAGTTGCTAAAATCTGGGATTAATCAGCAAATTTCATTGGCCTTAAAAGAAAAACGGTCTCTTATTTTTTCGTCTCGTGTCCAAAGATTGTATCCACTGGATCTTGGAATTTTAAAACCATTTATCATTGATAAACAAATTTGGAATTTTTGTTTTCATGAAATCCTGGGAACCCTGATGAAAGAATACCAAAGGAATACACAGTAACATACATGCCAACTGTTCAGATTAAAGAGGAACATTCCTCTTTTTGGGAGAAGATAATTATCATTTTAATGCAGGTGTTCCTCTTCCTGTACAAATTTGTCTGTAGTATTGAATAGGAGAGTTAGGATTGTTCCTCTTTTTTTTTTTAAATTGCATAATTTGTACAGATTTCTGATTTTCAAATGTTGGCATGTATGCAGTAATGAGACCTTTGAGAGGATGTTTGTAGTACAGTGCTTAAGACTTTGACTTAAGATGTAAAGATTGTGCGTTTGAGCTGTGGTTCAGTCGTAATGTAATTTGATGAGACATCGATCAGAGTCAGTCATTCACATATGCCTCTGTAATACCTCGATCACACCTCTGCACCGACTCTACACCGTCTCTGCACCAACTCCAAACCAACCAACTTTTGGCCATTGGAGTTAATATAATTTCTTGTTTAGTCTCTTGTTGGTCTCTTATTGGCTGATAGGACCGAAGTATTGAAAGGTAAAAGCGACTGTAATATCTGTGATATGTGATCTCATATATGTTATATATTGACCTTACATGATCAAATACAACCATGCTGCACTGTCAAAACGAAGTTCATGTGTTCTAGTAATACAGCCAAACAACACCACCACATTACACGGTGGCAGCGGTAGGATTCTAACCCATGCCATTGAAATAACTGGTGGCTAGTCTCGTGATTCTAAGTTGTCAACCAAGTTTTCATTCAAAGTTAAAATAACTTATAAATTCCTTTCTGTCTATTTCAGATATAATGCCTGCTGCATGGCGATTATGCTCGTCGTCATCATCTCTCTATCTGGGTTGCCTTGTTACATCATACCGCGCCTCGGCATGGTTCGTTGACATCGAAGCAAGATAGATGAAATTCCAATCCTTCAATAAACAGAACACTGCTCACAAGCTCATTTAAATCTAATCTAAGCTTATTGCATTCATGCCTTTGCTAGAAAGATCCATTGTGTAATCCCAATGGTAAGTTATGAGAATTGAAATATTGAAATGTACATGCGAGGAGATATCTATTTCTATGCAAAACATGAATTCAAATGGCTGGTAATTAGATTTCTCAAAAGGGAAAAATCTTGTGGCCATTAGGCAATGTTTGTTGAAGAATGTCTTCTAACCATTATGTATTAATTGTGCTACAAATGTCTGTAAATACTGTGTACGCTTAATGGTACATTCTTAGTTGCATAATTTCACGTTGATGTAAGACGTAGTCAAAGGCCGAAACATGGAGGAGGTGTTGTTTTCAATGTGCTGATTGGGTGTCAATGCGATTTTTTGTTTATGTCCCATGAAACTATTTGTTAATATGTTATGTTACTTCTCTGAGATTACCCTAAGAATATTCTCTCTGTGTGAACACTTACTAGCCTTTCTCTCTGAAATTCATCTAGAAATGCTGTGTTTGTAATGTTTTTGTCACGACAGAACTGATCATTTGTCGATTTTTCTTCTTCAAACTAATTGTTGACGGCTCAGACTTTAATGCCAACTGAAAAATATGGCTATGTTTAGGTTGTTTTGTTGGAAAGGAGTAATGTTTGGAAGTATTTTTGACTTTATTTCGCTTCAGGTATGCTTTTGTGTGGTTTAAATCCCTGACTACGGTACTTTATTTCAATCTCAAAGTATTTCAAACACCAAAGCATTTCAGAAATGCCAAATATATCATGTTTTATATTGCATTCACTTATATATATTGCAGAATTTTTATATTAAATTACATCAATTCTGTTTTTTTTAATTTTCAATTTTATCTTTGTCATGAAGTCGGGGCTGTCTAGAATATGAATTCATTTAGTGAATTGTGTTTGTGTTTAGATAGATATGAGTTTTTAAAATATCTCAATTTATATAATGAAAAAAATAATGTTTATACTGATTTTCCTTGTATTATTGTGATGGTAATGGCGATGGTGATAAATTATGGCGGTTGTGATGATTATGATGATGGTAGTGATGGTGCATGAAATTGATGATGATGATGGACTTGGTAAAAATGATGATGATGGTGATAGTTATAATTGTGATGATGGTTCAACTTCAATTTGACATTTACTCCATTCATTCATTAATTTTTTTTAAAGAGTACATTGACACAAATTGTAGAGGAGATCATGAAAAAACAATGCATGAACGAAGAGACGGCTCAATTACAAAAGGCAAGAGCCTTATTGGTGCTGCCATCAAAAAAAGGGTGGCATAGTGGTGATAGTGATGTTTCTCGTACCGACTAAACTAAACAAATCAAAACAAAATCATGAAAACATAATTCACACAAATAAGTGTCATGAAGTCGGTAGATAGCATCAGTTCTTATAGAATTAAAGACCATACACATATGTTACTGTTTACCCACTATTTTAAACATATTTGGATTCCTATAACTTCAATCAAAAACAGTTACAAATTATAATTGTCTGAAACGTATAGAAAAGGAGATTTGAATTCATCACTTGGCAATGAGGTGGTCTGCCTGTATTTTGTTCTAAGGTCTATGGTGTTAACGGAAAGAGAGAGAGAGAAAAAGATGGCAGTAGATATATAGAGAAGGAGGGAGACGGGGTATATAGTTCTGTAAAAAATAAATGAGCTGGACCAGAGAGATACAAGAGGAATCAGAATCCATGCACTTGAAAAGAGGCAGGACAGTGAGGAAGCGCGGTAGGTGTGAAATAAGAATACAATGGGCAAAGGAAAGTGCAAGAGGAAATTAAGGAGCATCCGAAGGCATAATAGAGGGAAAATGAAAACCAGAAGCGGGAAAGTAAAGAAAGAGACATACAGAGACAAAGCAAGAGAAGGAGAGCGGGCAGAACAAGAGAGCCAGAAGCGGAAAAGGTAGAGAAAGAGAGATGCAGAGCAAAAGAAGGAGAGCGAGGAGACTAGAGAGCCTGAGGCGGGAGAGAATAGAAAAAGAGAGATGCAGAGACAGAGCAAGAGAATATGAGGGAGGCAAGGCAAGAGAGAGAGAGCGAGAGGGTGAAAGTGGAGAGATCGAGATAGATAGATGCAGAGACAGACCAAAAAAGGAGAGGGGCAGAACATGAGAGGAGAAGGGAAACAGAGCAAGAGGGAGCTAGAGAGAGAGATGCAATTGAGAACAATGCCTTCCATATTTCTAGCATATAAGCTCTTGTGAATCCTGATCATGAAAGTGTTGCCGATAATATAAAAAAAACGATTATGTTCATGAATACGATGATGACGATATTAGAATGATGACCATGCGTGATTTAAAGTGGCATAGCGCCCCCTTCAGGTTTTCGATAGAGGATTAAACTGTTTACTTATACTAAACAAGCTCTTTTTTATAAATATTACAAAATGTACATAGTGATTTATTTAGTCCTGATTTAATATAAAATGTGAGTAAGATATTAATATTGTACCCATCCATAACCCAACATCTATGATGTTAAATCTAGAAACGATTGTTAGTATGCATGCATGGCAGTAAATGGCCAAACAATTGAAATTGCCTCGAATTTCCTTGGATTAAATTGTTATACATATAAATGAGACAAGCTGAGATGATGCAGAGAAAAAGGGGAGAGAATAGAGAGAGAGAGAGAGAGGCAGAGACAGAAGGAGACAGGTCAAGAGAGGAAGAGGGAAAGGGAAACAGTGAGAGGGAGAGGGTGAAAGTGTAAGAGAGAGGGAGAGAACAAGAGAGATGCAGATGAGGGAGACCAAGAGAAGGAGAGAGGCAGAACAAGACTAGGTGAAGGGAAACAGAGCAAGAGAGAAAAGAGAGAGAGGGGAGAGATGCAATTGAGAAAAATGCCTTCAACATTTCTAGCATAAATAGCTAGGCTCTTGAATTACGATCATGACAGTGTGCCGAAACTGCCAATGATGATATAATGATGTTCATGAATATACGATAGTTTTTTTGTTTTTTTTTAAAGCTTTTTTATTCAGATTTTCATAATTATACAAAATTATGAAAAGGAACACAATTGTTCTTACAGTATAAACATACATGTAGTACATTGTCTCATACATTATAAACACAGACATATTTTAAAAATATTTTCCATAAGTATCCAAACTAATATAGTACACATTCAATCAAGTGTACAGAATGTGCTACAATTCCTTCAAAAAAGGAAAAGGTGACGGTAATACTTCATATTAATATTTTTGGATACAACATTATAAAAAGGAACAATTTTTACAACATATCTTCTATTAGTTCAATATAAATTAAGCAATCTGAACAAATTGACCATATTGATAATGACCATGATTAAGAGTGGTATAGCGCCCCCTTCACGTGTAGAATCAGGATTTCAGAAAAAGTCGCCTAACACGCAAACTAAGAAAATTCTGACATGTCGCCTTTAATTGAAATTTTCACTATGATGATGTCATCAAAATGATAAATGATGTACTTCGATCTTGTAGATAATTTTCTTAGCTACACCGTATCATAATTTGGGAGAAAATAGAGCACGAATAAGCTAGATAGCGCTCAAAGATCAATGTCATGTAGATTCATGATGTGAACGAAATTCACCTTCCATAGGCAAAACACGCAAATTGAGAAAATTCTGACATGTGGCCTTTAATTGAATTTTGTACTGTGATGACGTCTATGAAATGAAAAGTAGTGTGTTTTGATCTTGTAGGCAATTGCCTCAACTACGGGATACCGAAATTTGGAAGAAAATTGACGAATATTGAGAGAAATACACTAATTTTTCCATAAATATAATGACGTCATAATATGCAATTTTGTATTTTGACATCAAAGGTCATTATGATGACGTCAAGATGTATTTAATGGCCAAATGAGATATGAAATCATATCACCGACTCACACTCTATCTAAATATGAAGAAAAACTGGAAGTCTTTATTCATCCCGATGTACTTTTTATAGGCATGTTTTTGCCCATATATACTATGTAATACATGAGCTCGCGCGCACGGATATTAATCTTCAACGGACGCTCATTCCGTTATTAAGAGTGATAAAGAGATAAACATGGTATCAAATTGTTAAGCCAAATATGAGAAATATCCTGTCAAAAAAAATTGACGGGTAAATATTTGCGTTCGACTGTGACGGACGAAAACGCGCGAATAACGAATAATGCATTACACGATATATTATTTTGTAAAATGCTTCTCCCATTTATATGCTTCTCCCATTATGATCTATTCATATGTCAAGATTAAATTGTGTCTCCTTGATCATCATGGATCTAGGGAAGATAGATTGAAACAATATATGACCTTTGACCCTGTGCAGTAACCAGTTACACATTTGACTCTAATTTACATCATGAAGAACACCTTTTGACGATTTTTATCTTATTCAAAGAAATGAAAATGTAATTGATAAATGATTATCATCATTATGATAATGATGATCATGATGATCATGATCATGATCATAAGCGCGATCATGACATCTTATTGAAAAAAAGAGGGTTGATTTAGATAGCATATAGTCTCAGCTACAACATACTCAAAAATCAACAAAATCCAAGCCGAAATAACGGCGATATTGCTCGCAAAAGACAGGAATGTAGAATCCAGATTTGAAAAAAAAAGTCATCTCCCATAGGGATTAGACGCAAAAAGTAATGGATTAAGTGAAAATAGGGTAATAATAAAGTAAAAAGGGTTATTTATGACATTATTTACGAATCTACGTGTTTAAATAATCAAAGGAGATGGTACAGTGAAGGTCAAAAGGAAAAAACAAGTGAAAAAAAAGTGTTGGAGACACCCGGAATCGAACCAGGGATCTCGAGGTTGGAAGTCAAGTGCGTTACCGATATACCAAAACATCTCCCATAGCGATTACACGTAAACGGGAAATGGAATTCAGAAATCCTACTTTGCAAGTGAAATATGAGCATAATCCCGGCATCTGATCGAAATATAAAAGGCGCACGTGTGATAGCTTATTGTCTCAGCTACAACATATTCGAAGCTCAGCGAAAACAAAGCTAAAATATGGGAGATTTCGCTCGCAAAAGACAGGAGTGTAGAATCCAGTTTTGAGAAAAAGTCATGTCCCATAGAGAATACACGCAAAATGTGAAAAATTGACATGCCTCCTTTAATCGCAAAAGTACGCCTTGATGCCTTAGTCAAAATGAAAAATTGTGGCAACTATACTTGTAGCAAATTGTCTCAGCTAGAACATATCAAAATTTAAAAGAAAATTGATCAATATTTACAGAGATACAATTAATTTTCCAAAAATATGCTGACGTCATAATATGCAAATTGAAATTTTGAGTTTGGAGGCCATTATGATGACATCATGAGTTAATTGAGGGTCAAATGAGACATGAAATCATATCTCCAACTCATAATCTATCTAAATATGAAAACATATTGGGAGTTCCCATCCATTCTGAACAGTTACAATGAATTTTGTATAGGCATGTTTTTGCCAATGTATGGTGGATAAAGATAACGCAGATCTGCGCGTGCTGTCAACTTTGACGGACGCTCATTGCGTTATTAAAAGGTGAACAAGTTATCAAAATGCTTGGAAAAATGTACCAAATATAATGACAGAAAAAATTCGGCGATTCTATATTGCAAAATGCCAGTACGCGCGAAAATGTGCGCGCATGCGCGTGTGCGTAATTTTTTTATCAAATGCTCCATATGGCCTGAAACGGATGTAAAAAAAAATTGGGATGATTTGGAGCATTTTAATTTTTTTCGCGCGCGTAAACGCGCGGACATAAGCGTACGCGCATT